GGTCTGGTTTCTTTCCACAGACGTTGCAGAAGGTTGCCAGCGCTATTCATTTTAATCGTATTTGTTTCAGAAAATCTCTTTACTTGTGCTCTTGTTGCCAATAAATCGCTGCTCTTTCAATCACGTTCCATCTTGCGTATAAGGTCGTTAGGTAGGGATTGCTTTGACAACAGTTGGTACCTTATTTAGCACCTTTCCAGACCCATCGATGGTTCCAGCTCGAGTACACATGCCTTAGGCAGCAAGCTGCTTTGTCCGTTTGACATTTTCTGTCAATCCCGTCCGTCCTCCATCAAGCATACCAAACATTTACTGAGCAAAATATTTCCAAACCAGTTTAACTTCTATTCAGATGTCCTCAAACAAGGTTTGGTATCCATGAATTCCGTGATATTCTTAGATTAATACAGGTGTACTCGTTTACCTTACTGTCTTACGAGGTCCTAAACTAATGAGAATTTCTCGCATACATGCGCTATCAAAGCACCGTTAAGGCTATTTGTCATCGGTTGATTGTGTAATTGAGGGGTCGAGGGATGATGGAGGGCACATAACAAATTATGCCCTATGGGCATCATTTTCCACCGGGAAACTGAATGTAAAACTAGGCGCCTGGATGGTTGGACAAATCAGTTGATAATTCCGAAAATCTATTTTACTAGAGGAGAGTGCTGAATGATAACAGAAGACTTTATTATTGCTTCATACAAACGAGGAGGACTTTTCACGTGAAACTTCAAAGCGTAAGAGTTTGACAAAGGTTCATGCCGTTCCATGCCATGTCTGTATACACCGGAAGGTTAGTGAAGCTAAGGCTGATGATGATGATCTTAAGAAAAGTGTAATGTACAATTGAGCATTGTAAATATTCAGTAAAAATTGCTTTGCGCAAACGCATTGGGTGTTTGGAGTAGATCATTACTTCGGTGGATCGACAATCCGTGACCAATAATTTTTTTCATTGACTCGTACATATGTTTGGTAGGAAAATGCGTAACACGCATTTGCTTTCTCATGGTGGACAGGTCGCCTAATATACCAAAAACTGCACAAAACCGCTGAATGTGATTGAATAAACGGTAAAATTTCATATTCAAGTAGTATGCATGCAGATGAGAACCAGAGGACAATGCTCACGTGATGAAACATACAAAGGACAAAGCCTTCGGAAGGCTGTCGGAGAGTTTTCATCCACCTCAAACGCGACGCTACATGCTTTGTCGATGAACCCGTTGTCTGCTGATGAACGGTTATTCCTAGGTCAGTGCTACCTTGCTTCAGGCTCAGAAGCGACGTTTTTACTAATTCAAAACTGCAAAGAATATTGCACTTTACTTGTCGATGAACCCGTTGTCTGCTGATGAATAGTTATTCCTAGGTCAGTGCTACCTTGTTTCAGGCTCAGATGCGACGTTTTTACCAATTCAAAACTGCAAAGAAAAATGCAGTTTATTTCCACCTTAAGAGATGCCATCGACCAATAAAAAGTAAAATAACAGGCAATAAAGAAAAAAGGTTTACTTCTTTGCTCTTAGATTTACCGAGCCCATGGTGACTGACGCTTGGTCATTTGAATCAAATTTTATTTAAACCACCGGTTTATGGTTGTTGCACTGTAGAGTTACTTTTTTGTATCGGTGAAAACTGCGACATGAATTACCAGCGTTCCCATCTTTGTTGATATCAATGATTATGGTGATGGCCGTCCCAAGCAGTATTACTCCTGTGCACTCAATACCTGTCAGAGCAGTTCTTCATCTGTCAGTTGCTTCCTAACCATTTCATACTGGAAAATCACTGGTCGCTCGTCATATTGTTCGGCGTGGCAACATGATGAAAAACATCAAAAGACGATGAGTACAACCTTGTTGAAATTCACTAGCATTGCGATGTTGGTGCATGAATTGTTTTTGCTTTTTATGATGAAAATGCTATCGCTAATGCTGTCTTTCAAATGCATTCTTTAACTCTAGAAAAGATAGAGCCTTGAGGAATTCAAATGTTTCACACAGTGAATGCAGAATTACTTCCTCAACTGAAAACACTAGCTAGAAAACACTGAAGAGGTAGTTGTTTCTCTATTTAACTTTCTTATATTCATGTTTTTAATACTAACTGTATCCTGATGTACTTGGGCATCATATCACTCAAATCAAGGCTTATGTGATTATCTTGCGGTACTGTCTGCTAACATGACCCCATTTCTTTTGTCGAATGAGGCCGTTTATGACTGGGCTCAAGCCTGGTTTTTTCAGTCTGCGAAATGAAAAAACGTTGAATTCAACGGCAAATCCGCGAAACTCATTGATTTTACCAGAGCGATCGCTGTTTTGCGTTTTAGGAAAAAAGGCAGAATAACCTTTGGAGTGCGTATACTTACCAGGTTACCTATTGCTCTGTACGATACATAGTTTAGTCACAACTTTTTGAAAGATCTATTGCCCAAGAGGAGATGGTTCACTGAGAAAACGCCTTCAAATGGACAGAAAAGGTTGTGGTTTACTCAAATTAAAGAAAAGTAAATAAACGCATACAGTGAACTAATTACTCATTTCTTGGTTTCTTGGTTTTTAAGGTGCTTGCAAGTTGACTTTCCAAAAAACAGAATACTGCAGTTTAGCCAGTCAAGTGCCTAAATTGACGGGTTTTTGGGACAGTAAAACTAAACATGGGCAGCCGCAACTAACAACCCTACTTTACGACCCATCTGACTATATAAAGGTGGGACGAAACGAAAAAAGCATGCCTTACGACCAATTCTTTTTCTGTTGTCTCATTGAGAAGCATACATAATATCAAGCTTTCAGTAACAGGTTACGCCCCAGATGTCGGAAACTACAGCCTTCCCTCGGAACAATAAAGCCCTCGTTATGGCACAGAATGTGACAATTTTCGAACAACACTCTTCGTTTCCTCAAATTAGTTTTTTTTCGAAAAGGATGCCTAATGATTTATGCGGTGAGTCGGATTGAATATTTCTGGGCGTAAACATCCCTATCAGATTTTACCCCCGAAGCGTAGTTGTCAATGTTAACTCGTTGTCAGCTATTAACACGAGAAGGAAGCGGGCTCACTTAAACATGGAGAGTTGTTAGCTATTTCTAGCAAGCTGTCCGTAAAAAATGAGATTTTGAATAAATACTAATCTAGAGACCCGCGCGCTTTGAGAACACATGAAGAAATAGCTGATCAGAAGATAAGAAACGATTACACAGAAGAATTTGACAAATGCAACAAGTGACACTGTGAAAAGATATAGAAAACGTTTCCTTCAGATTCCAGGCATTTATCATACCTTGTTAAGCCCTAGGCGCTCGTAGGTCTCAAAATATTTTCATTTTTAGAATATAACACCAGACTCCTCAAAAATTATGAAATGTCAAATGCTTCACCCGTTCCGTTTGTTTTAATTTCCTCCTTCTTATGGCTAAAAAGCCGACTTGATGTATAACGTTAGTTATTTGCCTTTACCAAGCACTATGTGCAGTGGGAAGCCTATTTGCAAGATTTTCGAGCAGTTAAGCTTGCTTCCCCTTTAGATTAAAATGTGACAGGAAGCTAGCAATTATGGGGCCGTGTGAAACTATGGGTCGACATTGGTCCCTGCTGTGTGATCGATCAAGCTTCGGAAGACTGAAAGAAATCGACCAAAACAACTGAAGTGTTCTGAGGCCACAAAATACTGTAACAACCGCGCGACTGAATAATTATAAATTACAACTCTTCAAATTTACTGTATTTTCAGCGTTGGCGCCATTAAAAATCATGCTTTTAGTATGTATCCCAACGTGTGCAGTTCATTTGCTTTTCCGTAACCTAATTATAACCCAATAGAATTCCTTTTTTCTTTTCGCGTAGTAACTGGCTGTCTAATGTTTCGTTTGTTTCGGGTTCGTACACTGCAACTCACTAGTGTTTCCAGCAATAACCATTAGGGACGCCAGTACTGACCGTAATTATGAATAAAAGTTTAGGTGTGATTTACTACAGGGGACATGCCAATAAAATTATCCTTATTTACCGAAGGAGTACAACAGGGTGGGTGATAGGCAACTTTTCTAAATGCGCACAGCATCTCCATTTGCCAGAGGACTAACGTACAACGTTGTTCGTAAAATGGCATTTTACAAAGGGCGGTTACAGGACTAACATAAAACGTTGTTCGTAAAAATGGCATTTACAAAGGGCGGTTTTTTTGGTATTCTAGATTTCACGTTCTGTGCTTGTGTGTTAACATTGTTCATAACTAGAATGTATGTAACCATTTCATTTGTGGGTTTTAAGGAGCTCTTAGTCTCTTGCCTTTGTTATTTTCACACACACTCATGAAAAATAATGCCTAAATGTCTACTAGGAATGTACAGCTATGAAAAACTTTGGAGATTACCAACATTGCGATGTTAAAATGTATGTGGATTGAAACCCGCTGATATGGGCTTGTCAGTAAAGCATTGGTCACACAAGTTGTCTTTGTAATGATCGACTTCAACACTGAAAGGTACAAACCAAATTATTAATCAGATTTCCAAAACCGACTTCCGAATGAGCCTAGCTAATTGCTCAGAATAGTTTGGGTAACGACCATATGCGCGGCAAACTGAAAATTACATGAATGCACACACAAAGTTACATGCAGCTAGCCCCACCTAAATGGGTTGCCTCAACTTTTTTATTTGTATAAGACCTACCATATTACTACCACTGATTTAGCCGGATTGCAGATTACTATGCTCCATTAACTGAAATCTGTACGATCTATATACACCATCGGTGTTCATAAAACGCAAAGTTGCTTGTATACGCCTAACTGTTTGACTGACAGAAAAACTGAACAAAGTTGTGTGAAGATGTCGGCTTCGATTCGAGCTCTTGAAGCCAAAAGTTTGACAGTATGGTCAGCTGCCATGTGCCAAATTACGAGCCGGTGAACCTCAATTTCGTAGCATCTCCAGTATTCTGGCAGTCAAAACAACGTTCACTATCACTCCATGTTTACTTACCCTGGGAGAGTTCCGCCGGTGGGTAATGACGTTCCTGTTCTTGACTATCCGATGTTGTGTTAGTGGTGGATTCTGAGGGAGACTGATGATAAATATTTCCACTCGGGTGACCGGTTGAGGCTATCCAAGATCCTTTATGGTCACTAAGTTTGCTTCTTCCAGAGGAGTCCCGCGAAACATCTGACTTCCCTGAAGAACTAGCACCAAATTTGGGGGTCCGCAGTCTTTTATACTCTGTTACGCTCCCTTCAACATTAGGTCTTTGATCTGCGGAGGAGGGTGTAATTTTCTGCGTCACTTTTGAACTCCCGGTGCCAGCAGGTTTGTTCAAGACGTTTTTGTGGATGAGATGCTTACGGTGCAAATGCTCTGTTTCCTCCACAGGTGTCTCTATAAATCCTCGTTTGGTTTGTAACTGATGTTGCAACTGTTGCTGGTGCTGGTGAGGATGATGGGACTTCATTAGACCCTGAACGCAACCAGAAATTGCGTGAAATGTGCAAAAAGTAAATCCAACCGACAAAAACTAGGAAAAGAAAACTCAATTTAAACCATTTTTCCTCGCCTTATTACACATTCACAATATTTTTTGCATCGTCCCACCTGAATCACAAAAGCACAAGGCACCTGACAACAATGAGGAGCACCACCATCAAGTTAGAATTGTGTGACCGTTTGTTGTCCGATTTGCGTTGGAGAAAATTGTTCTGGCCCTACGGTGGTGGGCGTTGTGTCAGTAAGTTTGCGCACGTGTAGGTAGCCAGGTTTTTGAAAGGCCAAAGCCGAATGGTCCGTAGTGTCTGTACGAGTGTATGTCCGTTCTGTGGGTGGCAATGATCCCGTCTGTTCTGTGTCCGTATGCGTGTTCGTGTGTCCCACATGTGACATAACGTTGTTCGATCTTATTGACTTTCAGTAATTTCGGTGACGGCGGGGATTCCTCTCACTAGTGCGGCTTGTTTATCGAGCAGTTGTTTCTAGGCTCACTACAGCGGTCATAAGCAAGTATCCTGGGCTCGACTTCTCGTCCTAGCCAATTCCTCAGTCCAAACTCTAATTTTTTGCTAATTTCGTACATGAACTAACCATTAACCCATTGGTTCTTCGGTGGCAACATATATTCTGGTTCACAGTAGTTATTTTGGGTGTACGTGGCAGTAAGGAAAAGTATCCCATGACTTCATTTAAAAAATTGGCTTAATGGTAATGAGATACATAAATAAGCAAAAGGTGACCCTTGTAACGCTCAATGGAATACGTTGCACAAAGGCCGCCTCATGTTACAGATGGAGCAGTATCCGGGGTAACTGCCTGTTTCGCCCTCCTTGTTGATCACCAGTTGGGTGTATTATTTGGGTTTTTATCAACCACCTGAGCATCAAGCTCTACATAAGTGAATATGTACACTCACTTGCAAATGAAACCAAGGAGGCTAATGAATGTCACCCGAATCTCATTTTGTACCACAAACCTGATGCATTGTAAGGACACTTTGTCTTGTTTTATTCAGAACGAAATTCGAGGCATCAGAGTACTGGTAACGAAGAATTTGACTGATATTCCATTGACTTTGTTGTTAAGACTGACGAAACCTCGAAGGCTAGGTTTGCTTGATGATTACAATAGAGGGTTAAAACAGGCAATGGGACGTCTGGAGGCATTCAGCAATTTTACATTTGGTGCTGAATCAATAAAACCGCATTCCATACTCCCATTGACCCACTCCCACTATGAAAGCAAAAGGTTCGGTGGAAGTTGCGACCGAGCGTCTCCAATCAGTGACTCCGCGGCTTTGTCATCGGCAACCTGCGAGGACTAGACTGAATCGTGCAGTAACATTTCATGTTCAGCATTGCTGACGTATAGATCGAAATTGAAATGCAATTCTTGCCCGACATGATCGGCTGGACTGTTGATCCGTTAGAAAAATGATCATTCTATTACGCTTTTTTCATGGTAAACCAGGAAAAAATTCTGCATACAGATTCATCATCAGGAAGACGTTAGTTTACAGACGGCATAATGAGTGAAAACTAATGAACGTGGCTTTTGTTTAATGGAGCTCTAGTTTTCAGTATGAAGTGTGAGGTAAATAGCCCTCTGAAACAGAGGGAGTGTCAATGATCGATATGGCCTCAAAGAACAGAAAAAGCGAATTTCAACCAGACAGTGATGCACTCAAAAATATAAATTTAAGTGGTCCTCGCATACGACATGCAACTTAATTCCGCTCTGGTTAGATTCTGGCAAGGGTATATTTGTTAGTCATCGTTGGCTTTAAAGCAAGCAGACACCCCAATACTCGTCTTTGCCAAGCTCAGTCAAGCAGAGCTGACTCTTCACCAGTTAGCCCAACGTTTCGCCTTCTGATCGCCTAACCTCCGCCTTCTCCCTCACAAGTCGGGAAATTATAAACCGTACTTGGTCAAATGCCCATATATTTCTATAGGTTACCTGCTTTTCATTATTTTAAGACAGTCAGAAGACAGCGTTAAAGTTTTTTGTCATAATTGGTTTGTGTTTTGATTGCTTGTTTCGTCGAAAATTGCATATAGACAATGGGATATGAGTGAGATAGAAGGCCAAATTCTGGTTCACTTATTCGTCCCACTGACACATATATGGCCTAACTAATCAAGTGGACAGTCTTCACTAACCGTAAGCCAGAGCGACCTTTACTCTCATGACTCATTAGTTCAAAATGCTTAACAGACCGCTTGCCCAACGCTTCAGAATACTGTTTATTCATAAAAAATACCGCGTTGTAACAGTGGAACGGAAAGTGAGTACATCAGCCTCTTGTCATAGTGTCATTCCATTTCGGAGTTCTTCAGAACTTTGAGCATTATGATCTTGTAATTTCCCATAATTTGCTATTTAGCTGTCTATATTGCGGCTATTCTTTGACTGATTGAAATCGGTAGGTAGATCTTCTGAGGATAATTGTCCTAATACCGATTAGTTATAGGAATGTAACCCGTAGTAGTCCTAGCTGTGACTGTGGTCAGCCTTCGGTCTATGGGCAAAACCTGACCGAACTTCTAGACATTGTACGCCAAGGGGACGTGATTGTGATTTGGCCCCTTAGCCCGGCCACCCCAAAGGAAAAACGATTTTTCGAACGATCAGATTCGCCTCTTTCGAGTTTGACAGCTCCATAAACTTACATACCTTTTGGCTAGGTGTGTAGCAGTGTAAGATACTGACAGAACAAGTCAAAATAAGGGGAACCACGGAGTTAAATGCGAGTGCAGTATGTGTTTGACTTCAAGGGGATCCGAGTCTGAGCTTTCCTCTGAATGGACTCCACTCTTAATGCATCTTCGCCAGAGTCTGAGAACTATTTCAGACATGGAATGGTCACATTTTCTGACCACCATTTGCCTGGCACTCGTGAATTCATTATACCTCTCTAGGCATTCCAAGTAATGGAAAAAAATGTACGCACTTGATGTCCATCCTGTTTACCAATGTTTCATTGCTCGCAGTGGTTGAGTTTGCTGGTGAGCGTAAAACATACTCTAGGTCTGTCATACCTGTCGCTACAAGCAAATTTAAAAGAGCGTCTTTTCAGAGTAACTCACGTTTTTATGGTGCATTCGGTAGAAAAAACATAGGATGGTAATGGAATATTGTATTAAACACCAGCAAATATGGACATCTAGCCCCAGTAATTTCAAAAATAGCTTACTGTGGCCTTTATGCTTATGATGATCTTTATGTACTATTACGATACAGCAATTGAGTTAAGGTGGTAGCGATGGTTGAACCGTTATTACTAGATAAAATTCAATCAGATATGCCACAGAAAGTTGTTTTTCGGTTGCTTTCAGTAGGTATTGTAAAAGAACAAAACACAGAGATAACGCTCCAATTTGGCGCGCAAGATGATAGGGTTTCCCGGACGGGATAAAAATGATGATTTCCACCAAACAGAAACGAGTGTTCCGATTCGTTTATTTGGTTGAGGAAAGCTTGTCAGATGCCACATACGGGAGCACTTTTGGTCGAAATAAATGTAAAATCTTGTCCATTATTATTTTCGAGCGGTAAAGTAACTACTCGCTCATTGTCGCAAACCTTACACACCATTGATTTTCGGACTGCCCATAGGTTACGAATGACTCGTAAACATACCCCTTCCGCATGGCCTAAAGATTTTTCTTTTCAATTGAGAGGTCACATGCGTGTTTACAGAGTCGCTTCAGAAAACCGTTTTCCGATTAAGTTCTTTGCATGTTTTCCGTGTTGACTAGAGCACTCAAACCAGAGCGCTCAAGTCCTGGTTTGTATTAACTATCCGTCCGCATAACTGCATTTAATGTGGCCTTTCGGTGGGTTGTGGAATACACATCTATTGAAATCACTACATGTAATTTGAAAAAATTAAGGAGCTTAAGTTCAGGTGATCATTTCTAACCTGAATCAATAAGAATGCAATCATGTGGATCCTCAGTTCAGTAAATCCACCCAGTGTATGACGCTGGAAGAAACTTCAAACTCTCTGGTGGGAGTCCATCAAGAGTTTTCAATTGCCTTTTTGACTACCGACAACTAGCCAGACTCACGTTTCTAACACATGACTCGATCCGTATTAGCCACCGTATTAACACTTACTTTAAAGGTTTCCGGGAAGATCCAGTCAAAGTGCAGTTCACCTGGACTAAATATTTTGAAGGGTGTTCAATTTATCCCGTTATCTGTCTATTCAAAGAATGACTTCTTCCTGCAGTAGTGTGCTAATATAAGCATAACGTAGGTAGATTTAGTATAAAATATTTTAAACCCTAGTTTAGCTTGAATGTGAGTATTCCGATGAAGAAACGGCGTCTTATGCAGTACTGGGATTCATTTGATAACTAGATTATTATAACACGAACACCATTACTGTTGTTGCTAACCAAAACTAAGCGTTAGGTGAGCTTTGAGCTTCGAGCTTCACCCGAAGAATGTGACAGTCAAGAAGCTATCATTAAAAGAGCGAGAGTGATTCAGCCCATGAAATCCAATTGGTCTGTCCGGGTTTACGGAATCTAATACATACTGCCTCAGTATGTAGACCTTCGTAAGCCTTGGTCGGCTGAGGGGAACATGACTTCTCATTTGAAATCTATTTTGTGCATTCACTTTGTGGTTGAAAGCAAAGAGACGTGTGGTGACTTCTCAGGTCGTTGGTTCATTGCAGCCACTAGGTAGACCATTTGAGTAAATTCGACAAATCAATTCTTCTGAGGAACCCATGGCACAAGCAATGTACGATACTTGTTAAGACTATTTGAACGAGTGTACGCGACACCGAAATCAGATGAAAACAAATTATCTTTGAGAAGCATGTTGATGATGAAGCACAAGTTAAATCTTGAGAGCCAATCATCGGCATAAGTGGTTGCTCGGAGTCCCCGTGCAGTCGAGCAGATAGTCAACGAAAACGCGTAAGCACACCAAACATTTTGCCTGTCAGTCAGCAGAAATGATCGAAGGAGCCGAAACCAGATCCGAATTCACTTCACGTGAATACAGGGAAAACGAACTACCGAACCTACTGCATTTATGGGAAAACGCTAATTCATGCTGATTTGGTGACCATTACTGATAAAATCATTTATTGGGTAAACGGGAGTGAAATCGTGAAAGAATTTTA